TCTAGCTTGCGTTCTGCAAGGACAATCCGTCCTGCCCCGGAAGCAAAGTCGCCGAAGAGAGAGATGGCCGCCTCGTAGTTGTCGGCAATGATGGCCGGCGGTGTACCTCCGCAACCTAACTCGAGGATGTCAAAAACGATAGGTGCAGAGTCTGGACGTCCGGTGAGTGCTCGCATAATGGCCCAGAAGTCCGGGGAAGTCATGATCTCGTTGCGTAGTGGACTGGGCTCGTCAATGCACAGTCTCAGGCCCTGAAGCACCATGGTCGAAGTTCTTGCAAGCGCCTCCTTTGGAAAGCTCGAGATTGTGTGCAACAACACCGGGACGTTGATGTAGTCATGAGCCTGTAAACCAATTAATAAGAAGACAAACATTGTCAGGGGCAAGAGTATGCGTACATAGCTGACTCGCAGTAGCTTGAGAAGATAGAAGGTCGCCCTTGAGACGACGATGTAGTGGTACCGTCCGGCATCTCGCAGCACGGCCTGCAGTGCTTCGATGACTCTCTTAGCAACAAGTTGGACTGTTTCCTGATCACGAAGAGCCAGCACCGTGCTGAACTCAAGGATGTAGGCCATGGCAGGGTCGTACACAGCTCCCGGTTGCACAGGTTTCTGACCGTTCATCGTTGCTGCCGGCACATTGTCCGACTTGACAACTATCACCGTTGGGTTGTTATCTTCAGGTAGTGCGTTGAGGAGGGAGTCAATCAACGGCTCTAGGTCTTGAGGGGAGAGTTTTCTACGTGACTTTGATTAGCAGTTGCGCCTGTTCAGGAGCAGATCGACTTACGAGATGTTGGCAAAAACGTTGCCCATGTGACATGAGTTGACACAGTCGACAGTGCAGAGGGTACTTTCCAGTTCCTCGTCTGAGGGTTCTGGTGGATCGTCCGCGGCGTAGCTGGAAATGTAGCTAGTGAACGCAGAAAAGAAGCCCGTATCAACAGTCTTGGCAGCACGGTCGATGACATGGGAGGGTGTGTGAAGTGGGATCGGGCCAATATCGAGGACCGGTGAATCCGCAAAGAAGGGGGGAACTAGAGAGTTGACGAAGAGGTTGAGCCAGATGCGGGTGATCTAGGGTTTGTTAGCTTTCCGCCATGATGATCACATAGACCGATATTGACTTACGTGTTTCCAACCATCCTGAATCAATTCCTCACTGCCAGTGACAACCCGGAATAGGACCAGAGTCGCTAGTTGCGCCCTAAAGTCTCTGCCAAGTTTCACTGCCAGTTCGCTGACCATGACACTGCTTTCGCCAGCCTGGACCTCCGTGTTCAGGTTCGTGTTGAAGGGGATATCAGTAGCCAGCGTAGTCATGTGGCTAAGTGCGTAGATGATCTGATCGAGAGCTTCCGTGTTCTTGTACTTGGCCGCGATACGGGCGCATTCGTCAAACCCAGTAACGATTCTCGCAAAGACTGCATCGTCGGTAGCGGACATGAATACATACGCAAGAGTGGACACAATGGGCCGCCATGTTGAGGCAAACATGTCGGCATCATAGATGTTGGTCTCGCATAGAACTAGCGGACGCACCGATTCAGACTTGACGAGCAACTCGCGCCAAGCATAGTCGAACGCATGCTTGTTGTCATGCTCGTCAGGCAGGATGATCTCGTTGGTTCTAATGTTGTCAAAAATATCCTGAAGATACTCTGGCGCAAAGTTTTGGCCGTCATTGACACCCCGCAGGTTGCGTGCAAAGTCATCCACGGTCATACGTTTCTGACTCTTGAGGTTGGGGTTGTGTTGATCCGTGTTGAGCATGATGATGGCATACGTCAAGACGTAGACAGCATCCGCGTTGGCGACCTCTGTTGGTTTCGCCTTCAAGACGTACTTGTCTGCGAAACAAACAACGATTCTCTCAATCAATGCCGACTCTCCCGGCAGTCTGAATGTCTCCAACAGTCCTCTGAGCGCCTCATCCACCCGCTTCTCTGAAAAGTCGAAGTGGCTCATGAATGCCTCTAATACGGCCTCATTTCCCTTTTTGGAGAGATACTCGCCGAGGACCTTCTTAGACACCCGCGATGTTCCCTTTAGGAACTTGGCGACCGCAACAGGATCTTTGAGGTCGGAGATGATTCCTTGGGCCTCAAGATATGCAAGGCCGCCCTTGGGATTCTCGTTGAACTTGCTGGTGCCCTTGATAATGATCTTCTTCTTCCGTCTCAACTCCCGTAGCTCCGTTGCATCGGGATAGCCATCGACAACGGGCGCCTCGTCCAACCTTTCGGCGATGAACTGGATGTACCTGAGTAGTGCATCCAAGCAAAGTGGTGGGACACTTGTCGTGCTCCAGGTTGCGGAATCCGGCAAAGCATTTCTCGAGAGAAGGCCAATCATGTCTTCGCACAGGTCCGCTCGATCCGCATCGCAATCATAGTTGATAAAAAGTTCAGCCATAAATGTCGGCATTCTTGACAGCACACCAATGTTTTCAACCATGGCCTGTCGTGCGTCTGGCTTCCTGGCACCACCCTCGAGACCGAGCTTTTGCCGATCCTTCACCGGAACTGGCGTCGAGCGGCCGCTGCTTGTCTGCGATGGGGGTGGCTTGACGAGCTTGGGGGATTGCGGTATCCCGGCGTAGAGCGATGGGTCAATGCCCGGTTCTCGCGGTATTTCTACCGACGGATGAAGGCACGCAACGAGATATGAGAGGAACAGCTCCTGCTGCAACTTCAACACACCGCGGCATGTGCCTAGTAACGTCCCGGCCACGATCAACGACTCTTGTAGGATGGCCATGTTGTCAGACCTGACAAGCTGAAACAAATAGCAGCAGAGCCTGTCCTCGGCTATCCCAGCCAAAGCAGGATGCCGCGCAATGGAGGGACCGGAAACCTCGAGGGCAACGTGAATGATGCGCAATGCCATGACTCTCATAGTGTCTGTGTGCTGCCGGTCGTTGGGATCCAAAAAGTTGACCAAAACTCGGAAGAGTTCCCGCACAGAGGGGAGCGAGTACGGCCGGAGATCCAAAGAGTCGGAACTCTCCGCGCCATCTGCATCACCATCGGCCTCCACATCGCCGCCAGCGCCAGCGTCGGCTTTGCTGTCTCCCGACTCTGAGCCTCCCCGAGAACGGGGATTCGGGTCCAGAGGGGTCGAGCTTGAGGTGGACAGGCGCGCATCCGGTTCAGGGTTTGTCACCTGTAGGCCTGGTGCAGTCGTTGCGGCTGGATCCATTGTGACGCTATCCATGTCCGCGATTGTCTGCTTGTCGAGAGCGTCGGACTCGTCTCCGGCCTCAACCTCGAGGTGTTTGACGTCTTCAAAGATGATCTGGCACATCCGAACCATTGACGCCTCGGCTGTTCGTCGGAGAACGGGCGAAAATCGTGGTTGCGAGCAAATTGCAAGCCCCCTGCCCATCATGTCGCAAACACTCTCGTCACTCAGAATGTCGCCTCCCGGTCCCGACATCATGTCTTCCATCAGGTGGAGAATCATCAGGAGAACAACTTCCACCTGTCCCGAGTCACTTCCGTCGAATTGGCATCGAGTGACGGCTGCCGATAGGGACTGCATGGCAAGGGCAAATCGCGGCGAGGCAGGGCTTATAAATCCGTACGCCAAGAACTTGCGCAGGGCTCCCAGAGTGAGGATGGTTATGGGCGCGGCCGTGCCTTTCGTTTGGATTATCTGGAGGAACGGGTTCAAGAGAAACAGGGCATCGAAGGAATGTATATCTGCGGCGCAACATGGTTAGCAAGGCTAGCTCTGCATAGCAAAGACGAGTGCAGCAAAGAGCAAAGTTGAGTCCTACCTCTAACGCTGGCCAATTCATGGCGAAGCTTTCCAAACCCGGCCATCAAAGGGTTGTCCTGTATGCTGCGACCCTTCTTTCCACGTAAACCCCATCTGTTGTTGGCGGAGGCCACGTCCTGAGCGCCATCGATCCCGAGTCCAGCACCTGATGTCTTGGACGCACCCCTCGGTGAAGGACTCGGGGGCCCCAGGTGAATCGGGTTTGGGCTTCCGCCCAAGATGGCCGAAACGGAAGAATGAGGTGATCGCGCATGTTTCTGAATCGCAGAAGTGATCGATATGCACTCGGACATGACCAGAGACACAGGGTCTACAGCGACAGACACGGGTCGGCTTCGATACTGCATCCTCGGCGCGATCATGGCTCGACGAACTTCTACGCTGGAGCGCGTGCCAACGGCAGAGGCCGTCTCGGTTTGCAGCAAGTCATCTGCATCTCGACTCATGGTATGAAGGTAGACGCGGTGGTTCGAGTGCGCGCGCGCGTGAGGTTCGGTCTTGGAGGGCTCTCGGTATGATGGGGTTGGGTGGCGGCGTTCAGGCTAGAGAGGAACGACGAAGCACGGGCTGAATATCCGTAGATGACAGCAAATTACGCTGGCAATGTGTGGCGGGTGCCTTGAGCAATCGCCGGGGAGGGGTCCAAGGACAGATATCCGTCGAGCCGTTGGAGGTTAGCTCGGGTTCGTAGGGTGCGGATCGAGAACGTTGAGATTTAGGTGTCTTGTCCAAGACGGAGACAGCTGTCGCCAAAAAGGATTCCTGGGCGAGGAATTGACCAGGTTGCAGATGGAGCTCCCAGTCTTACTTACGGAGCAAGGCCACTCTACATGCCGCCTAGTGTTAGTGATCACTAAGTAACAAGTACCCAAGGTACGGCGGCCCGATAAGGTACGTTGCCCCAGATTGGGGATTCCGCTGCAAGGTACCTCAGTACCCGAAAGCTAAGCTGTGGAGGTACGTATCCTTCCAAGGTCCTAGCATTCAATTGAGATCATTTGTACACTATCCTCATAAAATACCACACCTCTTACTGGATCCGACAGACCAATGTGACCCAGATCTACCTTATAGCAGTTGTGATCACTCGTGGCATCTCAGTACGTAAGGGTCAAAGTCTCCCCTGGGTGAGGTCAGACTGATGATGCCTCGTGCTTAACTACAGTTGATGACAGCCCTCATTCCGGGCTTACCTGTCATAGAAAAACTGACAGACTGAGATATTTGTCTCGGGCCTACTACCTGTATCGACTCACGTATATTGGAGCTCCAATCGTGCATCTGTAACTCATAATTTCGCGGGCTAGTTCTATGCCCGACGTAGTGCCCATTTCCTTGGGCCCAGGATAAACCAACGCCTTCCTACAACATCCACTTTCTTCCAGACCATCCGGTAGTAGACATCTTAGTGTACAACAAGACTTGACAACACGGCTCGTCGCTGCTTTACATATCTCCGCATAACGCACAAGCTGTCTGCTGGTGGCAACCTAGGTACCGATAGCTGTTCATCAAGAACAGCTACAGATCCCAGCAACGTTCGACGACAGTGGGTCCATCTCGCTAGATTTGTCCCTCTCAGCTCTCAGCCTTCTTGGCAAAAGCTGCGTCATTGCCCTCCTTCTTCTCCTTCTTGGCCGGCTTGTCTGACTTGCCTTGCGTCTCCTTCTTATCTGCTGGTGCTGCTGGTGCTGCTGGTGCTGCTGCTGGCTTCTTCTTTGGATCCGCCTGCTTGTCGTCGGCATTCTTTGGTGACTTGCCCTCCTTGGCCTCTTTACCCTCCGTGGTGCCCTCCTTGGCGCCCTCCTTGGTACCCTTCGTCTCTTTCTTCTTCTCCCCGACGGCGAGGTTTTGCATATCAGTCTTGTCCTTCTCCCACTGGCTGCTGGCATCGCCGAACTGCTCTTTGACCTTCTTAGCCTTCTCGGCCTTTTCTTCCTCCTCCTTTTGGCTGGCGAGCCTCTCTTGCTCCATTTCCTATGTCACATTAGAACAGACTTGGTGATGTTGCTATTGAGAAGCAGACGTACCTCCATGTGCTTGATGTCGTCGACACTAGGCTCGTAAAGATGCCAGATCGTGTAGTGCGGCAAACCGACAACGGAGTATTCCATCCGTTTTGCCATCTACACAGTAATGGTTAGCTCTTTTCTACTGTCAGCAGCACAACGATCTTACCTTTCCGAATCCTTCTGTCTCGGCGTGCTTCTCAAAGCTGAAAGCTGGGAAGTGTACTCCAGACCGGAAGACCTTGGCTTTGGCAAGAATACTGACGCCGCCCACTCCATCAATTTCCATCTCCATATCAGGGTCACCGTATGGGTCTCGCAGGTATGCCAAGTGCGGTCGCCAAGTGGCGTACTCGGCGTAGCCTTCAACAATCACGGCATCTTCGTCCAGCGTGTCTGCGAGAGCCAGCGCCGTTTCTGATTCTTGCCACGAGTTGAGATCGTACGGCTGCTCTCCGCCAAGCCAATCGGGTAGAGGACGCCAAACATCTGCAAACTGTCAGCTGGATAATCTCCCTCGCCCTTCAGGGTTCCTCCGAGCTTACTCGGTACAATCACGTCCTTGTTGTGACGCATGAGATCTTCGAGGATGGTAAAGGGAGCGGTTTCGACGTCAACGTCGCGCCAGTACACCCAGGAATGGTATGGCCGCAGGGCGGCACTCAGGAGCCAGTTACGGGCCTGGGCCATCAACTTCCTTCGGCTCGCCTGTGCCGCAAACCCATGACGACTCTCGACATCCTGGTTGACCTTTTGTCCAAAGTCCTTTTCGATGATGGAGATCTCGCCGTAGGGTTGCTTGGGGTCTTCGTCGGCCTGAATCTCCTCCAGCATATCGTTGAGAACCTGCAGGGTGCGGTCCTTTGAATCGGAGACGAGGAAGGCAAGGTCGATGAGGTGGTGGGGGTAGGTGAAGTTGCGCAGGTGGGAGGCGAACATGGACAGATGCGACTCGGCGTCTCTCAGAGGGACACAGAGAAGGATGCGCTCCTCGCGCTCCCATCCCCTAGCAGTCCCCTGCACATTGCTGAGATCGTAGTATCGTACTGTTTCCAGCTGTAATTCGCTGCTGGCGGATAGCAGGCCGAGGGAGAAGATGGAAGTCAGGGAGGCTCCCGGCCAGATGAAGACGAGAAAGAAGATGGCGACAACGGCGACGATGACGAGGCGGGTTAGCAGGCGCTGACGGCGACGATTCGCGGGTGTTGAGGCTCGTGGTTGGTATCTGTTAACGAGACAATGACAAGTCAGCTCGGCGCGGCGCAAAGGATAGAAGCAATCAGCGAGCAGAGAGCAAAGGTGTCTTCCTGACCTGTGGGGGGAGATCTCAAAGGTGTTCCCCCTTGGATATCCATTGGAGTAACCACTCGCATGATGCCGCGGCACCACCTTGGAGGCTGAGGTAGAATAAGAAGGCAACATCCAGGGCACTGGGTGGAAGTCCAATTCCCGGTCCCGAGGTGAGGGTGGAGAGTTGTACGGCAGTGAAGCACCTCGCCCAGCCCTTGGGAGTCGTGAAGGTTAAGCAAAGGAGAGCATCTAACCAGGGGGAGCGAGTGCTGTGGTCGGTCGGTCGGCCGGCTGGAAAGTGCGGCTCGGGCAGCGAACGTGTCAGTTTGTCGAAAGGTATGGAGGCCGCGATCGCGATGGCGGATGACAATGCGTAAAGAGGAGGATAATATGGGATGGGTCAGGTAGGGTAAGGGAGTGTCGACGGGATACCTGCGAATACGGGGGACTGGGACTGGGACTGGACCGGGACACCAACTTTGGCTACGTATTATTTTATTTTCAGATTGCCTCTCTGTCATCCCAGGAATTGAATAGGTACTTGGCAGCCCAGCTACGACAGGGCACCTAGTCAGGTACCTGCACCCCTGCCTCGCGCCGTCTGAGAACTAACAGTACTGAGCATGCACATTGCACAGTAAGGACAGCGTACTTTGAACGTGTCCATCTGCCAAAGGCAGGGCGGCAGGGCGGGAGGATGGGTATGCAGTGCACAGCCCGCAATTTAATTGGACGAAACTTGGTGGTAGAAGCCTCCCTGAGCTCCCACTAGTCTGGCGTCCATTGCCTCAAGCTACAAGTACGCGGGAGCAAGCTACCTTGCCCTTTTGAGCTTTTGAATCCGCGACTATCTGGCCGCATAATCGTCCGGGAGGCCCGTAAATATGGATGCCTCCGTTAAAGCTTAACCTCCCTTCCATCCACGATCACAATCCCGACGATAAGGCGCTCATTTTTCCTTCTTTCCTAGGCAAGACACCAACGAGCGCAATTGTCCTTAAAAACAGTAACGTCTGTCTGAAGAGTCGGGCACAACGTCAGACAAACGTAGCTGACAGGACACAGCCGACCAAAAATGGATAACATGACCTCTCAAGGATAGAATGAGCAAGATCACGACGGAGAAGAGATATGCCATCTACCCCCTTGGTCGCAGGCGGTACTAAGGTGCCTTAGCCTACCCTCACGTACCTGAGTTGAACAGGGAGTTTTCCTCGACGGTAAAGTGTGAACAAGACCACACAGCACAACACACGAGTGTCGCTTTCCACCGTGAGACGTTCGCATACCTGCCAAGGCCACTATGCCCAAACATTTTACCTGCATCGTGACATTGTCTACTATCGCATTGCACTTGCCGCAGTGGGGTTCACCGAGCTCACGGGGATGGTGAGAGGATAATGCCACTACTCACGCTGTTCTAGCATCTCAAATCTCCAACGCTTAGCCAGATCCTACCCACCATAGCTGCTGGTGGACGGATGAGGCATGCGTTGTTACGCTTCACTTTTATCACGAAGTCAACGAGTGCAATGGTTATCATGAGAGGCAAACATGGGAGCACGAGAATACATCACGGAGGCAAGTCAAGACAAAAATAGGATCCTAAACGTGATCATTAGCGAAGTGAACTGCATGAGAGTTGCTTTAAAGAAGTATGATCATGGCATCAGGTCAGACAAGCCGGGTGTACTCATTCAGCCAAGCCGGCCTCGCGAACCCTGAACCTCAGAACGAGGAACCGAGAAGCTCAGCACTGAAGTTAAATGACGACTCCCGAGGGAGCCAACTCCACCACCTTCCTCATCCCTCCGGAGAGGAACTCCAGTGTGGGAGGATGACTCGGCTGGCATGACATAGTTGAATGGATAAGCTATGGTCATCATGATGTTGCGTGCGCCTGGGCAGGAAGCCTGAGCAGCACGCGCGAGAGAATATTGAGTATAGAAGAAATTTCTTACCTGTGCTTGCGCGCTTGCCCACGAAGTTGGTGACAGCTGTGAAACCGTACAAATCAGATTGCTTGCCTGTTGTGGGACGGTCCCTGTTAGCTATTTGACTCGAATCATCAAGCAGTAGCAAAGAAGGAAGATTGACGTCGTGTCAGACAAATTTTTGGTATAGGGGTTATCATCACAGTGTTCAGTAGCAGAACTGAATGATATGGTTGTTCATCATAGTCGACGTAGTGCAGGTGCTGCAAAGAGCAAGAGAATAAAAAAAAAAAGCAATGTTGACTTACCCAACCAGCGTAGACGCGAAGGCCTGGCGACGAGATGTTCAGCTTGATTTATTGACCTTGAACCACAGTTAGTTGAAGTCTCCCATCTGATCTCAAAGGAAAGTGCTGAAAGTCCACAGTGGCGTAGGATCAGATGGTGATGCATGTTTGTTCTTGCGCTCAGGAGATCGCGGGAACGGTGTGTAAGATATACATCATGAAAGTGGAAGATGGGTGTGGTAGAGATTGCAAAACTTACCAAGTAGAACGATCTTGACGCTGGCCATGCAAAGGCAGCCCATTTTGGCTACCAGAGCACGGTTTTTCACGGTTTTTCGCGATTGCGAAGAATGGTGGTTGAGGTTGTTGAAGAGAAAAAGCGTGGTGAAAAATTTCGGCTTGAAGTATTGAGCCTTATATGGCATAATGGGATGTCTCCACTTGCCTTTGTGGAGCCGGCGCCGGCGCGCAGATGCATCTAAGCGGGTATGGTAGCCGCACCTCAGTGGTCGGCAACGACCTGGAAAATTCACCTCAGGTCTCATCTTGAGAACTCGTAACTGGGCAAGGCTCTCAACTCAAGGCAAACAGAATTAGGTGTTCTTCGTTCATACACCTTTTCCCGGAAATCACGCCCTCTCCAACTCAAACCCTTTCGGCCAACAACAAAACCGACCAAAACCGCCTCTCCCACAGCTGGGAATAAAACAACAGTCTCTATCAAGATGGCTGATCGACGGAGAATTAATGGACCGCCTGGTACAACATTACCACCCGTTTACGAGACCACGGATGCAATTACGACCCCCAGAGAAAGGCCGGCAAATGGAATTCGAGGATTGTGTTAGATTACCTGTTTCTTTCCTCTTGGGATTTGATGATGCTAATAGTGAGAAGTTCTCAAGACTGGCGTCACCCCCACAGCCTCAGGCTCAGCATACATGGAGATTGAGCCGCCACTTGGCCAGGTCAAATCTCAGGCCAATTCTCAGTCAAAGACCAACGGCATGAAGCTCATCTGCACTGTACATGGGCCTCGCTCACTTCCTCGTTCCGCACCCTTCTCGCCTTATTTGGTGCTCTCAACTCACGTCAAATACGCTCCCTTCGCCACACGTCGACGCCGAGGCTACCTTCGTGACTCGAGTGAGAGAGATCTCAGCGTTCACCTCGACACGGCCCTGCGTGGCGTCATCATTGCGGACAGATGGCCAAAGAGCGGCGTCGATGTGATTGTTACCATTATTGAAGGTGACCAAGAGCGCGAGGCATCGCATTCTCAAGGCAACGAAGAGTGGGATATGATGAACGTTCTCAGTGGTTGCATCACTGTTGCTGCGGCGGCTCTGGCTGATGCCGGCATCGATTGTGTCGACATGGTTACTGGCGGTGTTGCTGCTCTTGTCTCCTCGAACGAACAAGACACCAAAGATGCAGACGCGCTGTCTGTTGTCTTGGACCCCGTTTCTCTGGAACACGACAAGATACTTGCCGCTTGCTGTGTTGCTTACCTTCCTTGTCGCGCCGAGATCACCAACCTCTGGGTGAAGGGCCAGCTTTCGCCGTTGGACCCTTTGCTCCATACGAAACTCATGGGTCGCGCTATTCAAGCCTCGAAGGGCAACTATCGCGCCGTCCTCGAGAGACTCGAAAGCAACCAGCCGCCCAGCAGTTAAAGGACTGAACTACGGTCAATTACCTAGCGGGGGTGCAGCCTCAGTCCGCCAACACACCGTTGATTTGTCACGCCTTTGAAGAAGGGCCACGATCGACCATAACCTCAAGGCGCCTTTGAACGTCGAAGATTGTAGCGTGCATTTAACGCATCAGCGCGGTCACATTGTGCCGGGTGTCATTGGCACTCGAGTGATGACGAATCATGATGAGGGTCTTGGCAGGAAGACAAGCGGAAGCAGGATCACCTTGGAGAGCTTATGCAGAATTGTCAGATCGACGACGGTTGCCGAGCTTCTCTACACATAGCCATACTCGTGATGGATGCTCAGGGGGCGGGCTGTATCGAGAACATCCTGTAATACCAGGCGTTGTGGCCACATTGGCAAAAGATACCAGGCCCATGTATGGAGAAACATTGAGAGCTGCGATAAATGAGGGATGACAGACATAGTTACTAACCCTCGAAGAGGTCTGTTCATTCGATGGCAGGCTGGAAGGCAATAGAGCGTCCTTGGTTGAAGAGTCCTTTCTGAGAAATGAGCAGGTGAATTGTGAATGCTGTACAGATTTCTACCTCAACAATTTTGGCTTTATGGTCTTAATCTGTTATAGTTCCCGCCCACTTCGATTCGACTGCCTTTCTTTGTATAGAGTGAAGTGACCTGCCTGGCAAGGAAAGGAACTAATAACGTTGGTTGTTTAGGGACCTTGTTGATGATACCTCTAAGGTTAAGCATGGATGCTTGTCAGGTGTCCACTTTACCCCAACCTCGGCAGTGCACTCGTCGCACTTAGGAAGCCCTTAGCCGCCTCTCATAAGCACTCGGACTCCGGCTTCCAGCTCCTCGGTGCTCTGGGCTCGCTATTGTCCGTCAGAGAACGGCGCTAAGGAGTGGAGAGACCTGGAGCGATCAGTGAGCCTCGCGGGCATGCGACAACATCCCTCCATCCCATCCGAGCTTCCGTCCTTATCCTTCTCTACACTCCCCACCGTCCTTTCCCTTCTCCGTCCCGTGCTTGACGAGCCATCTTCGACCGACCTTGGGCACCGATCGTCCGCAAGATACCATCGACGACCACCTGCCTAGTCGACGACCGTTCCTGACATCGCCTGTCCGCCTGCCTCCTAGTGGCTCTGTCAGCCCGAACACCTCCTCGTGCCTGCTGTCCGCATAATGTTCTCCCGCATTCGACGTCACTGCCCATGATCCGAATCGCGACAATCCCAGCCGCCCCGAGCGATAAGGCTGCTGCCGCTGCCTTGCCTATAATCTGGTCCTAATACCAAACTTTTCCTGGTGACCATGGACAATCTGCATCCACCTCCTACTCTGGAAAATACAGGGGTTTGGCAGAACCTCTCGCTGTGGACCGCTCACCAGGTTCAATACGCCGTAAACATTACCAAGCTCGCTCCTTCCTTCGAAGACCTGGTATGGGCTGGTCCGCGAATGGTACGAAAGCTCACGGCCTATCTTCCCATCCCCGACTCCCTCGAGAGAGAAATTCCAGAAGCAACAGGACCCGGCATCCTACGTACTACCGAAGCAGCCACGACCGCTGCCCTCAACATGGATATTCCTCCTCCCATAGGCCACCTTCATGGAACTGGGCCTGCTATTCCGGCCGATCCAGATGCCGTATTGGCCTCTCCCAAGTTCACCATGGAGGGCGCGAGAGGGCTAGGTAGCGTCTTCAGTTATGCAACGAGCAAGTGGGCGCTTTGCTGCATTGCCATGGCAATCATCCTCAACCGCACACACATCTTCGCAGCCACTCGTCGACGCTTGCGACTCACTCTGCCGATTCGACTAGCCTTGCGTGGCCTTCCCGTCCTTCTATTCTTGGTACAAGCGCGCGGTCTACTGCGGTCAATCCAGTGCCAAACATCTCCCGACTTTGCCGAAATGCGCTGGGGAAATACAAGCAAGAGCTCCGAGCTCATGTTCTCACAAGCCGGCGGTCTCCTCCATACTATGAGTTCGGCACTGTTGTTGGGGGCTTCAGACGAAGCGTCCTGTACAGCTATAGGCATGGTTCCAACAGATACCAACGACACGTCACAGGATATGAGGGGATCTCTGTCTCTGCTGTGGCCGCTATTCGGAACGTTTTGTTTCAGTCAATTTCTCGAGACCGTCTCATGCGCTGTCCAGGGCCGACCCGTTGCAGCCGAGACGGGTATGACCCTTTTCGAACACTCCCTCGCCTTTGCCGAGGCGGACGCTGCCATCAGCAATCAACTTGGCTGGGGCTTGTTTACGCAGTCTCAAGTAGCGGATGCAGCTTCGACGAGCGCCAGCACCATAGCTATCAGCCGGTCCATGATTCTCAGAAGGGTCAACACCTCGCCCGAGGTTCTACTCGTTGCCTTCCTTTCAACCATGAGCCACATCACCAGTCATATGCTGGGCATCTTCAACTTGCAAGCCAAATTCCGACTTGTCAGCACCGGATTCTGGGGTCTATGTTTCATGGCAAGCATTCTTTGGAGTGCTTTCACGTTCTCCTTGGATGACCCGGCGAAGCAAGGGCTGCTCAGATTTCCGACTGTCTGCATCATCGGCTTCATCCCCCATGTCCTTGTGCTAGGTGGCATTCTAGTCTGTTTCTTCATCTACCTGCTTGCTCTCGGTCTGGCCGCTCTCACGCCCGCAGAGGGACAATCAGGACAGAGGCTTAGCCTTCGCGAGCGGCTGGCGCAAGCCCACGCCAACATGCAAGCCAATCTCTCTCTTTCCGACATTCGGATTACCATGGAAATGGACTTTTACACCGCTTTGCTTCGGACCGGCTTTGGGGCCATTACCATGGCAAGCGAAGCCGTCTACCTGAACGAAGACAGAGACGTCACAATGCGACCGCACACGTGGCTCGAGGAGGAGAGGTATCGAGAGCTTGAAGAATTACGAAACCAGTGGATCGGAGCCGGCGCCCCTGACTCTCACTATGATACCATAGGCACAATCGGTCTAGTGCCTGTCAAGGACGACCACATGTTGTCCAAGAACGGATACGCTCGCGAACGGGCGGCTCAAAAAGTGCCCAAATCACGGTCTGGGGAGCGAAGATTGAGGGATGGTGTCGGTGCCGCAGAGCGTAGTGGCCGATGGCTGATGGCACTGGACTTCATCATGAACATCAACAGACTCATCTTTCGAACGTGGGCTACCACTATGCTGAGAATACTTTCCAAGATTGGTTTACGGCACCCGAGACTCCTCCTATGGATCGTTCGCCGACCTAAAACTGCCAGCGACCTGAGGAACTCGAATCCGAAAGACAGCGCTGGCCGTTCTCAAGCACCTTCAGATCCCGCCGAGTCCAGTATGAACATCCCACTGACTGACAGCGTCGATGTCGAATCCGAGTTCCGACAGCAAGTATGGAGGGGAAACCAAAATTGGGCTCCCATGGACGAGGCCGACCTAGATTCGAAACTCTACGGCTGGTGGCTGAAGGGTGGGTGGTGGGGTTCGGCAGACAACAGCGGGGAGTACCAACCGGCGGCAGCGTACGATGATGACGATACGACGAGCGTCGTATCTTTCAGCACTAACGGCGACAGCGATTGGGAGTCGGAAGACGCTGGGCAGAGAACGCCTACGCAGTCTAGATCATGGGCTTCGCGCGAGCACACACCAGTCGCGGAGGATTCATTACAGCTGTCAGATCTGGCCCGCCTGCTGCACCCTAGCAACCCTGAAGAGAGGGAGGAGGCGCATGCGTTGGCCGCTCACCTGAGTAGCGACAGAATCGTGACCCGATCACAGTATCTCAGGTCACGGCAGCTACAGCGGACGCAGATACTGCAGCCTAATGGCAGTTCAAATCGCACCACGACGCGGCCAGTCAAGATGACACCAGACGAAGAGGCGCAGCGCTTGGAGCAGTTGCTGCTGTCCCGGCGATCCCAGTTCTCGAGTTCCGTGAATCGCGGAACATCGACATGGGCAGATGGAGCGGCTGGTCTGGGTCCGGACGGTCCGCAGTGTGTCGTCTGCCAGAGTTCTCCCCGCACCATCATCGTCTGGCCCTGCCGCTGCTTGAGCCTTTGCGACGACTGCCGAGTGTCACTTGCTATGAACAACTTTGACAAATGTGTGTGCTGTCGTCGGGAGGTTATTAGCTTCAGCAGGATCTACGTGCCCTAGACTTGGGTTGAGTGTATGGCGTCCTCGGACGATGACGCTTGTACTTGCTACGATGCGATATCAGAACACATGAGTCACTTTGGCGTTTGGGGTGGTTTGTAGCATGGTTGTTTCATTGAGGTACACGAAATAGGGGTATCTTATTGGTATTACACAGGTTATCTAGGCTTAGCGTTGAGCGTCACCTTCATTCAGGCATGTGGCCCAAATTCCAGCTCACATTCCTGCCCATTCTACGCAAAATGCGCGCACCTGCTTCGCGTCACTGTTCATGTCGAGAACCTCTCCTCCAAACAAGAAGCCCTTCTTCACCGAAGTACCCAGACGACCACTGCCAACAATGTCAAGCATCGGTATCTTCTCATCCCAGTCGTAGTTTGTGGCGAGGAAGTGAGCGTGATACCGCAACGGATCACCGGGATATACACTGTAATTGGCGCCAAAACGTAGACCGGGGGTCATGAAGTATCCTCTAGACTGCAAGTGTTGATGCAACGGCCCAGCGAGAGGTTGTGGCACTGCTTCCTCAACCTCACCCGAAGGCATGAGGAGACCTTCGCTGGTCGTTGGCGTGACCGCCAGGGATGGCTTGGCATCTACGCCATCACGGGGCTTGGAGCTCTTGTCTGGGACGGCACCTCCAAACAGGGAATCATCATCCACCTCGGGACTGGGTTTCGCCTGAGGCACAACAGCCGGCTTCGCGCCCTTGTTCCTCCGCGTCTGTTCCGTCGCAGCCTTCTTGGCCTGGTCCTCGGCCAACAGCTTCTGCGCCTTGCTCCGACGTTCTTTCAACAGTGCAATGTAGGCCTGGCGGGTGGCCTTATCCGGGGAGCCCACGGACGACAGGTGATGCGAAGCCTCTTGGACGAGACGGCCTACCTTGTTCTCGATGAGCACGCTGGCCTCCTCGGGCAGCAGCTCGAGCGGCAGACTGAGGAACACGTTTTGTGTTGGGTTCTGCGGGGTCGTGCCCACCAGGACGGAGCAGATGTTGTGGCTGCGCCTGATGGTGGCCACGTCTTCGGCATCGAAGACGAGGTAGCGATCTGCGATTTTGGAGATGCGCACGGGGGGCACCGAAGGATCTGTCAACGCTGCTGCCATTGTTCCTCGTCTCGGGACCTTCTTGTAGGCCTTGTCCTTGTATCTGGGAGAATAATGTTAGCAACTGCTTGAAGAGCTTGAGTGCAACACGCTAGTAAACAGTGCTGAAAGCCACAAAATCATATCTCGTTATAATGATAGTTTCGTCACAGAGTGTCAGTGGATTGACAGATTGATTGAGATTGGGTTGTTTAATCATTTGGCTTTGGGAAGGGATTGGAAAAAATTGGAGGAAATCCGTAAAACTTACCCAGATGTGTGCTTGTCGGAGTCAAAAAGAAGTCGAAGCTGGAAAAATTCGTAGGATTGAAGTTTATGGAGCCGGCTGTGGTGGAGACGGGCGGTGAGGCAGAACAGAACCCCTCTGACTCTACCCCGTAAGGTTTGTTTTGTGCCTGGAAACAGCGAGCGTGGCGCTGTGGCTGTGCGTTTGACACTTCAACGTCGAGTTGGCGAGGATGTGTATGGATATATGTTACACATCGACCTAGAAGTTGCCGCGGCCTGCCATTATTTGACCAATCTGAGAATTTGGCGAATAAATTTTACCGTAGAATCACATTCTTCCACACGCCGCTTCGTAGAGTGGTTAGTGATTCAACAATCAAGCTCATTAGGTACAGGTACAGGTAGGATGAGCCTTCGCGCAGTGTAATCGGGTCACCCCGTTGATCTTGGGAATCGTGGTTAGGTTAGATTGGTGTCGTCGCTCAACGCAATCAGTCATGCGTTTCGTCAGATACTCAAAAGTCTAGCTTTTCTCCCTTCTTCCCCTCGGCCTTGGCTCCTTGGCCCCCATCCCCTTCGTCCAACAAAGGAGGGAGAACGTAAGGCTTCACTATGAGCCCACTCGAGCTGCTCATTCTGAAGGAAAGATCCTCCCGCGAAGACTGGCCCTCTATACCTCCTCCCCTCTCGTGGTAGACGGGGAGACTATGCACCTTGAGCATCCCTTGCACGACGTCTTCCGACTTCGTATTCGGCTCGACGTGCACTTTCCTCGGCAGGGGCAGCATCTCCAGCACTCCATCGCACAAGAGCTCCATCCATCGTGCAAATCCTGTCGAGCGCGGGAACAACGAAGTGGAAAGCGAGATCATGGCTGTTAGACTCCCTTCGTGCTGGCGTAGCAGTGCTCTCAGTTTGTGCAAGAACTGCAGGGCGTCTGCCGGCCGGCAGACCGAGGAACCATAGAGTGCGGGCGACAGAAGGCTCGGCACTACAATACGATGGATCGTACCGGGCGGCGATGCCTTTAGCTTTGCCGAGACGTTGGTGATGAATGTGTCTAGAGGGGAAGAGCTGGCAGGCCCTGAAGGCTGGAGCCAGCTCATGGCAGCAATAGATGGTGTTGCGTGCAGTTCGCCCTTGATGTCGCTAGGTTGCAGGCGTTTCCCGAGGTCAAAGGAGTGACAGAAAACTTCAGCAGTACCTGCTGGACCATTATTGTTCGTCCCTGAAGGAAAGGTTGATGTGTCAGTGTCCGTGGCCATTCCATATCCCATGCGATCCAGGGGGTAACGTACTTGGACCGGCATTGTTTCCAAGACTCTCATATCTCCACGCGATCTTCATCTTCTCGTCTGATGCTGGTGCGGATTTCTTCTTGCTCGAGCCACTGGCTTTGCCAAGTCCTGGAAGCTCCCCTCTCCACGCATCTGTCGGGCCAAGCACGTGTACTTGTTGGCCCTGCACGAGACCCTCGGCGGCATAGTATCTGAGAAGTACACCCGAGAAATCTGTCGTTCCGGACTCTTCTACAAGAATACTGTAGCCAAGTGGTAGCCCTGCATGTCCTGCCAGGAGCTGGTCTAGTGATGCCGTTCCTGTGGATGTCGTAGGACGACCGTCAAGGGGTGATGAACGAGTCCCAGCCGGTGGTAGAGCCTCTTGCTTTGGGGCTACGGGCTCTCTTATGGGACCTCTGGCGGACGGTCCGAGGACGACATTCTTTTTCCTGAACGACATGGTGCCACGGTTTTTGCTAGGTGTACTTGAGACACTGAGTCCCAGGTTCGCGGCCAATACTGCTCAAAAATCGGAAGTATTGCGCAGATTCTCGGCTTATAAATGCCTGAGTTGTTATGCCTGTCGTTGCGTCAGAAATAGGTTGCCCAAGTCGAAACATGGGATTATCACCAACGTGGGTGTAATTCCGATGTTGACTCACTGCAGTTTGTGTAAGACAGTAATCCAGATGTCGCTGCTGATACTGCACTCCTGCGAGGAACTGCTCATCAGCACTTCAGTGAAGTTAAACTCGATTCACTCAAATACCTGACTTCAATATAGCTGAGAGAACCGTGGAAGTGTTGCTAGGTAAAGCAAAGTAACCTGCAACTTAAGGTAGTTACATCAGATACCTATGGAAGGGTTCATTCCCCCTCCACTGAAGAGGGCAGGTGGGGGTGGGCGTTGCACTTACAAAAATTTGAGCCCCACCGATCGCAGTCAGGTACCTAAGTTACCCCGTCCAAATGCATACTACACTGCTTAACTCAATCGCTCTTCGATTTTTTTCTACCTTCCCAGCCGGAGCTTTACACGCTGCACTTGGAAATCCACTTGTCGTTGCTCACGATCTTCAAGCCTTTGCGCCTCCGAACAGAAGACCTTGGCACCTCTCTCCCACGAACCGACGATAATCCCGCCAACTTCTCGTACCTTTAACCTCGGACAAGCAACCCAGATTCTACAGCGACCATGTCCGGCAGCGGCGATGTCACCCTCTTCGAGGAGTCCTTCACGGTCACCAACTACGACCAGTCAAAGTACGACAGAGTCGCCCGTATCTCGGCCACCTCAACCGACAACCAGACGCTCATGACCCTCGACATCAACATTGAGCTGTTCCCCGCCTCCGTTTCCGACAGCCTGCACGTCGTTCTGGCGACGTCCCTGGCCCACGATGGCAGCAAGGACGACGAGAAGGGATGGCGGGACGTGACCAAGGGCAGCCAAGACCGCGAGCCGTCGTTGGCTGATATGTTCGATTACGTTTGCTACGGCAAGATCTACAAGTTTGAGGATGCCGACGACGGCCAGACCATGTTCGTGCTCCCGCATTGAGTTGTCTCGAGTGCGCCGCGTAGAAGCTGACGGTGTTTGTCATTATAGCAAGGCCTACGTCTCGTTTGGAGGCCTGTTGATGTCCCTCGAAGGCCCCTACAAGAAGCTCACCCCGCTGAGAGTCGACTACGTCTACCTGCTTATCAAGAAATGATTGAACAAGACGCTGTAACTTCCCGCAATGGTTGGATTTCAACGCTTATCCGCTCTATTTTGGGGCGCGCATAAAAGTGAGGCACTACAAAAGGCTGTACAGGCGTTGTATGGCCCTATACAGCAAGAGCATGGGAAACGGAGTTAAAGGCGTCAGGAATTTTTTTGAAAGAGCAGGCTAGGTTGCTCATGATATCCCCCGGATCTCGAAACTTTGGCCCCTGGCTCAAGCATCAATGGCCCCGAGGGACGGATCCTGATTATGCGGCCCAGGGAACGGCATTCGTCGGTGGATTCTTTGCACAATCTGATCGTACTCGGGCTCGTTCTCTCTAGTCAGAATGCCCCGGCGGATAAAAAAGTCGAGAGCCACCAGCGCGCAATTTGGCTTCCACACGCCCTGTGCGAGTCCCTCGCGGACCTGCTCGACCGTACACAGACTGAACTCGGCGACTTCGCCGTCCTTTGGCTGCGGCACGACGTCTGTGGGTAGTTCGAGATCATAAATCCACTGAACTTCGGGATAGATCAGCCCTTCCTCGCCCGCTTCTGCCTCGGTGATGTAAATGTACGTGACACCGCCAACGAACTTTGTCCGATGGCGAACGAGTTCGTCCGGCAGGCTGGCCTCCTCGTCTGCCTCGCGGATAACACACTCAAAGGGGTCCTCTCCCGTCATCAGTCCGCCGGCAACGGTATTGTCCAGCATGCCGGGGAAGGTCGACTTTGTCGGAGAGCGACGCGGGACCCAGATCTTGATGCCGTGGCTCGCTGACGGGTCGCGCACATAGGCCGTCAAGTGAACGCCGTATCTCATGACGCCGAACAACCCCGAGGCCGCCCTCTCAATGTCAAAGAGGAGTTCGCCATTGCGGTCGTACACGGGCCATAGCTCGTCGCGCCAGCCCCGGAGGATGGGGAAGGTGTCGTTGGCTCTCCAGTAGTCGGAGAGGTCTGCCGCCAGCTTGCTGCGGCTTTCCAACGTCGGGCCTTGGAAGGCTCTAAGAGTGCGCTTCTCCGAGTCGACTTGGACTTCCCCCTTGATGCTGTCGGGTACCTTGAGCAGCTCGTCCACCACCCTTGGCAGGACGTATCCGAGGGGCACGTCGCCCTGCTCGTCTTTTGAAATCAGAGTGTACACGGATCCAAACGTCTCTGCATGGGGTGCGCTGTCCTTGGGCTGCTTGTACGGATACCTGCATCGTGGGTCAGCTGCGGGGTGTAGTTCCGAGGGGAGTCTGCTCAATGCCAGTGTTCCTCACGAGTCGACTTGCTCGATGAGATCAATGTTGGTAAAAGTCTTCATCTCGGCAGAGTATGTTCTCTTCGTTGCTTTGAGAAGCAACTGAGTGATAATGCGGCCGGGAAAGAATGAAGACCGTAGCACAGGTTACTGGGTGCTCTGAAAGATGTGATGGCGCCTTGTCAAGAAGACGGTTTCCGTGCTGCCGAACCCCAAACGAAGTCGATATGCATGTAAGTCTGACCCCGATGCCTGAAAGTGACGTGTGTCCCAGCAATAAGAATCCGGCATCCAAAACTTTGGACCTCCGCCCCCGAGTCGGACTTCTCGACGGCAAGTACACAGTGAGGTACATTCATCAACCGGAGTAGCTAGCGGATCCGATACAAGCATATGATTGGCTAGTGTCATCGAGGCTTCTCCCATCGTCTCGAGGCTTCCCTCCACAACCTAATGCAGCTGCCCCTTCCCCCCACCTTGCAATACGACAGTAATTGTACTTCACCCCGTGTGTTTCTCACCTCCATCGTCAGCCTCATTCTCTCGCAGAGTCCTCAAGTACTGGAGTCCAGAACTTGGTTCCCCTCAAGGCAGCTCTTCTTTTTATCTAAGTATATTTGGTGACCCTTCACTTTCTGAGCTCATCTCTTTGATATAAAGTCAACAAGCTATTTGCTTTAAGGCTTCTAAACATCGAACCACACTTTCCACTCAACCCTTCAAAACATCCATGAGACGGCACTGAGAAGGCCTCAAGCTGTCTTTGAAAGCATCCCATTAACACACTCTACTCGAAACACCAAACCTCCACCACCACCATGTCCGGCCCTCTCTTCGGCATCGTCCCAGCCGGCCAGCCCCTACAGACCACCCCAACCTCCGCCCCCTCAGAAACCTCCTTCCTCTACTCCATCTCCGCCGCAAGACCCTTCTCCCACATCACTGTCATGCTCCTCCCAGGCATCGTCCTGTCCCCCGACACCGCCGCCGCAATCTACTTCGCCACAGCCGCCGACGTCGCCGCCGCAACCGCGACGGGCCAGACCCCCGACTTCAAGTTCCTCGGCGGCATCGGCACGGGCAAGGAGAGCGCCACCTTCAAACTCAACGCCGGCAACAGCAATGCCAACAATGGTGGTGATCCCAACGCCGGCAGCGTCATAATTGGCGTCTCGGTCGAGCCCGCCGAGTCCGTCTTCTCTCGCATCCAAGAAATCTCCGCCAACAAGACCTCCTCCTCCTCCTCCGGCGCAACGGGGCCGTCCACGCAGCTCCTGGCGCAGAACATCATCAAAAACGCCTTCAACTTTCTCGCAAGCTTCAGCGGCACGGCCGGCCCCGGTGGTGTAGAGGTCGTCCCGCTCAAGGCGTTTGAAGAGTGGTGGAAAAAGTTTGAAAGCCGCGTGCGGTCTGATCCGAGCTTCCTCGAAAGGCCGCAAGATTGAGAGCACCTACCTACCATATTCAGCTCACATTTGTTTTTTCTGTTAGCCTAGTACATAGCACTTCCTCATTTGATACCCGAATAGACAATCTTAATTGTATTCATGTTCAACGACACGTAAGACATACGCGGTCTAGTTTTCATTGTCATCTGTTCAAAATCTTGGTCTGGAAAGGACTGGCGATTCGACGTTGTACTACAACCAACGCAGAAAAGGAACAAACAAATCTGCGACAGCTCAATGCCATGCAATGCCTCCCATAAAAAAAGATGGCGATCTCTCGTCTAAAGCGGCCCGGTAACACTTTCCCATGTGATGAAACGCCGTTAACTGCCTCCAATCCGAATAGCCCAGAGGGCCCTTGATGCCGGGCACAATCCACCATGCCTGATAAACGCCGTCTCTGTAAGAATGAACAAGAAGAATAAAAAACACATCAGGAGAAACCCCCCGATCCAGTCGCTAGCAGGCATGCATAATCTTACACTGCGTATAGCAGGCATCTCTGTTACTTAATCCTCATCCAAAGGCTTCATCAGCGGACTCTTCAGTCGTGTCGGACTACCAGCGCGACTGCGACGTCCTGCATTCACCAAACTCGGTACCAGCCTCTCTCTGCTCTCTGTCCTCACTGCCAAACCACCACGGTCCATGGAAAAGGGTGGTCGAACGTCGTCGAATCGCTCAATGTTGAGCTTCGGGGTGGCGAGGCCGGAAGAGCGCCCTGCCCTAGAGCCCTCGCTGCTGTCGGAGTGCTCGTTCTCGTCAGAGTCGACAGAGCCGAGCTCGAACTGATCGGCATCGCCCTCTTCGAGAACTCGTTCGTAAGTCGCCGATGATCGTCCGAAAAGCTTGTTGGTAAATGAGAAGCCACGCCCGAACTTGCGAGGGCTGCCCGGACGTCTCGTACCCCGAACGGCAGACGCAACCTTGCCAAACCATCGTGCTCGGCGGTCTCGCTTGCGCAGGAAGTAGGCTAGTACAACTAAAACCAGGATGAACGCCAAGAAGCCAGATCCAGATTTCGTCTTCGCCTTGTCCAGGAGCTCGTCGGTATCCCAATCGTCATCGTCGTCGTTGTCTCCGATCGTGATGGGAGAGAATTTGGACCCTGCGGGTTCGAAATCGGTGGCGCCAGCGATGTTGCTTCCAAAGCCAACCGGCTGGGCACTTCCTGCGGGTGGGACTTGTCCGGCGGCATACAACACCATCTTGCCCAGGGTCCAGCTGACTTCGACGCCATCAATTTCGTTGACTGGCTGGAAGGGATCGACGAAACCCTTTTCCTTGGCATCCTCTAGAGTTCCTTTCGTGACGTTCAGACCGGGTTGCGGCGTGTGTTCGAGTCCTGGTCGCGGAATGCCGATTCCTTCGTAAAGAACATTGATGAGCCAGGACGCCTTGAAGCAGGCCTCCTGGGCGTTCTTTGCCTTCTGGGCCGAGGACTTCTTTCTTGCATCAATGCTGGACTCGATATCCACCCAGTTCTGCGTGCAAAAGTCCACCACGTTTTTCTGGTACGTTGCCAAGTCATATGCCGTCTTGTGACCCTTTCCAAACACTCCGTGGGTCGTGTGCCAGAACTCCGAGACACCCACAAAGTGGTTTACGTCGAAATCAATGTTGGGTACGTGTTGGCCGTTGAGAAGGCAAGGCTCGTCTGTGCACGGGGTGTCCTTTCCGAGAAGAGGCTCTGTTTGGCGCAGACATTCGTCGAATCGACCGGTGCCGAGCAGAGACAGTTCCTTGCCGACAGACTCGGCCTCGACAGGGTCGCCTTTTACGCTTGTTCTCAAGCCGGCGGGGAGGCATGGATCCGGGAGCTCGAGGTCGTTGGGCTTGCCGTACTGTTCCTTGAGCTTGTCGATATAACGCTCGCGGGCCTGGTTTGCACCGTAGCCGAGCCAGGTAGCAGTGAAGACCCTGTGCTCGATGGTGCTGCCGTCCAGGGTGCGCAAACGGACAAGCTTGAGGTCCTCGGCGTGTCTCTCGGCCTCTGTGCTGTTCGGTGCGAATGCAATCTGCGCCGAGGCACCTCCCATGTCCAGAAAGCCGTACGTGTGGTGGCCTTGGCCGTGCGTATGCTTGTCGGGGTGGTCGAAACCGCCAAGCAGGTAGTTTGTGGCGAGCCAGCCGTACAGACCTTCCGTCTCACCAGAAATGACCTGGATATTGGTGTTGCAGTCGGGTAGCGAGAATTTCGTATTTTGCTGTAGGTAGGAGCACATGTTGCGGAGGAGAGCCTTTTGTTGGTGATCGGGAAGGAGACGCATGCCAGCCGTGGCCATGAGGTAGACAGGCGTATCGGCAACCTTCTTGTCGGGAACCTCCTTGAGGGCCAACTTGATGAGGGATTCCAGATGTCCATGGCCGATTTCTTCAGGCTTCTCGGCGAAAGAGGACACGCCGGGGCGAATCTTTTCGCTCGTCTGCAGCTTGATCTTGGGCAGACTATGGAGCTCTTCCACGGTGGCGTGCTTTATGGCTTTGGCATGATCCTTCCACTTATAGACGTACAGACGTGTTCCTGAGGAACCAGCGTCAAAGATGATTCCATATCGCCCTGTTTAGTGAGCACTTGAGTCAGCTGGGTGCACAATGTAATGCCAGACGCGACGCATTCCATGAGCGTACATTTTTTCCCCATGAGGAGCAGCTGGCGCAGTCCGACTGCGGGTTTTTGTTGCAGGTTTGTTGTAGGTCGGTTCTGGGTGGGAGAAGGCGCGACGGGATTATAGCATGGGCGAAGGGGAGCCGATGATGGAGGATTCGTTATCGAGTTCGAGTAAGCGTGGTTGGCACTGGGCCTCGAGACTCGTTCGTTTGATCGATTCGAGTCGGTTGTTGTCTTTTCGAGATCTGCTCCCTCGGTGGTTACAGTCGAGGAATTTCGGAAACGGCTACGATAAAGCTAGTCGCAGTCGAGATTCGTCGTGGGTCGCGGCGAGATGAGAGTTCGCGTGGAAGAGGATGGGCGTTGGCAACAGAAATTCGTAAACTGAAAAACAATGGGTAGTCGCAAGTGTAGGGCGTAGCGGCAGAAATTGATTTCAAAAGAGGTTTGTCGTCTAAGATTGATTCAAGCGAGCGTCGGTCATCCTGGAGATTGGACAGGAGAGACTGGGGAACGAAGGTTGGCAATTGATTGCTCGATTGATTACCGGCGTCAGGGGAATAAACGGCCAAGGCTCGCGAAAGGGACGGGGGAAGTAAAAGAAGTCTGGAGACGTGGTTCTAGGACTCGGGGGTGGAGGGAGCTGATGGAGACACAGACGCAGACGCACTCGCGGTACTCGCGGTAGGTGAGTGGGTGAACAGACACAGAGCAAACGGGGACGACGACGGGAGACGGACGACGGAGCAGGGGGGTGTGGCTCGTGTTGGGGCCTGGGCTGGCACGCCTTGGTCGTCCCTCTGGCGTCCCTCTGGGAATGGGATTACTGAGGTGACAGGGTGGCAGAATGACGGGACAGGGTTGCATTGAGCCAGAGATTACGCACCCCACGCACCCCACGCACTGTAAGTCGTTTTGTTATCTCATGTCTTATCGGCGAAGAAAAACCAGACAACCAATGGGAGTCGAGGGCTAAGGCAGGTCTCCACACTGTGTCGGGCACTTGCTTAAGTACCTGCCTTGGAGGCTTAGCCAAGGCGCCTCAGTGTCTGCAGGCTGCGTGGTGTGTTTGGTCCGACCTTTTCGTACCTTTTTGAGTGCTAAAGGTGAGGTGACGGCAGTGACTGGAAAGATGGCAAGCTGTGTGTGTGTGTGTGTGTGTGTGTGTGTGTGTCTGCGCCGGTCTTTGACTTCAAACGAGGGAGTGCGTAACCGTCTGATTGTTGGCCATGATTGGTGCCCTCGGGGGAACGTGCCTTTTTTCCCTCTCGACTGCCGGATATAGTCGCCCAGGACTACACAGTACCTCCTCACTTACTAGGTACGCAGTGTGAGTCGTGACAGGGCAGCACCCAATGGAAGGTTGGACGGAAATGCTCTCGGGGTTTCTTCATATCGATGTGGTAGGTACGGATAGGTACTTGCGCTATATCCACGGGTGCCAAGGTACCTTATCTTGCGTGTCCTCCCTTGATCATCGCCTACAGATACACTAGAGGTTCCTTGCTGATACGGACCATCAACCCGTGGGCCTTTGACTTTATCCCTCACTTCCCTCTCCCTCGACTAAATAGGACCGTGCCAGCGGGTGCATCAATGAATGGAAGGAAAAGAAGCCTCGGGGGGATTGGGGGACCACACCCAGCAATAATTCAGCGCCACTGTGCACCTACTGAGTAGCGTCCACAGGGCGAATGGTTGGAAGTGTCGGGCGAGCCGTGGTCCCTTACTCGCAATCGTCGCCTCCCTCTGGCCCGTGCACCGTGAGAATTCTTCGGATTGCTCACTAGGCTGGTGGATCCCGCTAGCAGATACCCCTGTCGTCGACCTGCAGAACTTGGTTGGACCCCTGACTTGGCGTGTCAGATTGGCCAGACGGGAATGCCCACGGCGCGACTGCGGAGCACACTGTGCTCGCCTTGCTACGAAGTACTTGTTCTCCGTACCTTGGCACGCTTGGTTGCGGAATTTGGGAAGCTTCTCTGCAACCATTGTCGTTCCCACGGTTCCAAACTTCCCACTGTATGGGTGTGCTTACCTCATCACATGTCCACCTGCTTGGGATATATTTATCCCCTGCCACGAGTCTCCCGTTCCTGTTAGTGGAGTTATGATGCAGGGCACAGTGCTCCAAGACAGTGCTGAGGCATGCGGGCAAGCCAACTGTGCCGTCACGCAACTAACAAAGTAACCGGCCCACGGTTACGACGAGGATTGCCCCGTCTGCAATCGCAACCTTGGTCTAATTCCTTATTCTCTTCCCTTTCTTTTCCGATCTTGGAATTGGTGCACAATCTAATGAACCACATGGTGAGACCGTGAGATGTATGGTTGCGCAACCCGCCTCTTGTCTTTGAACCGCCGCGAGTGTATCAAGTCGAGACTTATTCCCTCCTGCCATTCATTTTTCTTTCTTATTCTTAATAGATTTCAGTGGGATTGATGTATTGGCTCTCAACTTTGCCCTTGGATGATATACTTTCGTACCACAGGCAAGACATTGAACAGAACATCTCTACTTTGGGTTCGAATGAGGCTCTCCACGTCCAGGTCAATATCGCAGCTTGCAAGCAAGGTGCAACTCGACGACCTACCCCCCAGTCCCACCCCACCCCCACCCCCATGATATCACGTTGTGCTTAACCTCCCATTCTATAGCCTTTCTTTCGTCTCAACATCCCGTCTGCTCTCTACCGGCATCACCAACTCTCCTTGGATTTGTCCTTGTTCCCGCCCGCTTTGATATCTGAAACCACCGAGCGCCGATGTTGAGCACCAACGTCATACGCCATCGTCCGGGGCTGCAGCGAATGGCATCCGCCCTCCCGCCGCGCATCATCCGTCGCTCCCATTCACACACACTGTCAACGCTCGTCCTCGCTTTCACCCGTCCTCCAGATGGGATGACTCCCCAACGCCTCCCATTGTAATCCCAGCTTGCGCGTATCCTGAGGCCCGGATCCTAGCTCCGGGAGAACAGGCAATGCGCTATACACCAAGGCTGTCTGACTGCTGCTGATATGCATCGGTGACGAAACTACTAGTCGAGGCTTCTGTCTTCGTTCTTGCAGGCTGTGTCTTCCTCTGCACTGTCGCCACCACTGCACCGACCGCTGCGCTGCTGCTTGTAGCCATTCGCCGCCTAACATTTTCCCGTTTCCGCCGCTCTTGGCGCGAGCTCTGTTGGATTTCTGCAGCTTCTTCCGTTTCTTCAGCATAGTCTTGGGGCTCTCTTGGCCAGTTCTGATGTAACGCTGGTCACCCACACGCGACAATGACGACGTGGGACTGGATCTCTGGATAGGCCTCGTTCGGCCGAATCGTGGCATGACAGCGTATCGAGTTTTTGCTGGAAGGCTCACCAACTCAACTTGACCAAAGACCAGACTGATGTGCGTATATCAACTACCAAGGGACTGCAAAACGCAAGACCGATACCGTTGTGCCTCCTGATATAAGTCACGTCTTCGTACCCAAAGGTCGTTGTTCCTTCTGCCACAACTCGTGGCCCATCCTCGAACAAGGTACCGACCTCGTTTCAAACTCCTGAACAAATGTTTTGGGGTCAAAAACGATTCTGTGGGCCGTCCGTCGTCCATGTCCTTTTTGCATCTTCTCCATCCATTGTTCTCTCCAAACACGCGCCTGGTCAACAAAGGCATATGTTCTCGAGCTGGACAATCATGACCCATGTCACGGGTCCGCCAAATGGCTAAATGCTGCGGGAGCGAGGCCTGGACGTTTGACTGCAGTCCCGAAGTGTTAGTCTCCATGTTCTAGTGGCCAAGGCAGGAGGAAATACCATGAGAGTAGAGTTCGGCTTCGTTGCGTCCCGTAGAGCCATAACTACCGTGACTGATATGACCAGTTCGAATTCCGGAAGAGAGGCCAACTCCTAGGCCTCGTCCACATGAGATGGGCGGATGCCTTGCAAGTGGGAGATTCCCCGAAGGACCGCGAGGCATGGGTGTTCCCGTTCCCGTACCCAGCCCGAGCACAGTCGATAGCCCGAACCTTCCGTGGCTGCCACTGCCGTGTCCTCGGGGTGTACCTCGTGGCGTGCTAATGGTGTCGCCTGCATATTGTGTTAGCATGCAGTTGCGTCGCATGAGAACAGTATCAGATAAACCTTGCGCAGGTCCTGGTTTTGACCAAGCTCTGTCTTCCCGTAACGGCCCAGAGCCTCCTCCGCCGGCAAGCACTCGTGGATGTCCCCTTTCCGGCCCAACGTACGAGTGCGCATTGTTGTACGCAGAATCCGACTGCTGTTCGTAGATATTCTGCCTCGCTGCGGGTTCAGGGAACTCAAAGGCTGGTAGTTGTGTGCCATATTGGAGATTGGAGTCAACTGCATCCGAAGCGGCAGCCTCCATCTGTCCCAGATCGGCCTTCCTCTTGACCTTGTCGTAGAGCTCCTGGACTTGTGTGAGCTTGCGGCACTTGTCTTGGTAGGAACGCGCAAGCTCTTCGTGTTTCCGTCGCATGTCGTCGTAGTCATCTGAAAGAGCTACTCGATGTTAGCAAGCTTGTCTGTGGCCCCGGAGAGGGGTCATGCCGTCGTTTCGTACCTCGAATCTTTTCCTGGAGACCCGTAATGTCGGCATTCGCATCACCAACTGTCTTTTCTAACTTGACGTTTAGGATTTTGAGCTTCTCCGTCAGCGTCTTTTCCAGATAGCGCTGGTATATACTGTGCTAGGTAAGCGACCACTGTCAGAGGGAATTTGGACGGGAGCCAGCGCACACTTCTTGGGTCGTCTGGTAGGCCCAAAAGCTCAAGGCCCTTCCTGCACACTCCATGATGATGTTGGGGCTCAGACCGCTGAGAACGCTCGTCTTGTAGTTCTCGGTCAGGTTCAAATTGGTCACCACGGCATCGTCTGGATTGTTGAGCTGGCATTCGCAAGCCGGGCACGACTTGCGGCGATCCGGAGCTTGGCCTGTCAAGCCATGGCGCTTGGAGCAATCTACGCAGAATATGTGGCTACACAGGTTCGGTCAGCCCGCAGCTGCTCGATCATGCTGAAGACATCTTCCTCACCTGCACGTGGTTACCAGGGCCTGGTCACTGAGCTCTTTTCGACACTTGAGGACGTTGCATTTGAGAGTATGTTCCATCGCAAATGTTGATCCTGGAGGTTTTACGGTGGCTTGTAGGTCATGCGATGTTGGGGGAAGCTAGATTCTGGTCTGGATGTTCGATCCCGTGATCTATCGAGTGGTTATTGCGAAGACGATGATTTCACTCCGAGTAGATACGATCGTAATCCGCTCGCGAATCGCCAGTAGGTTGATAATCAGTTGAACTTCGAATCTCTCTCAAGAAGGGAGTCCCCGGACGTGAAAAGCATCGGTATCTCAGGAGCATGGGAGAGAAAAACGGTGGCCATTGTTGCGAGCAGAGAAGTTCATGTACGTTGGAGGTGGCTTTCTAGGTGTACTTTCCTCATCCGAGATTCTCCTAGGGAGTCGCACTTGCCAGGGTCTTTCCGTGTTCGTAGACCGATAAGGTAAGGTACGTGAGTTCCGCCCTCATAAAATCTCAAGCTGAGGAAGGTGTCTACCAACATTGGGCAGGTCAGTAGCTACCTCAATTGCTCAACTTCATTGTTCGCAGGCCCGTATCTGGAGCACGGCCTTTTGAAGATGCCTCCCCCTCATCCCAAGACTACTTACCTTATTAGGTCATACCCAGTACTCTGCGGGTGTGATTCACTCAAGAGGTAGGAGAAATGGTGAAAGAGCACGACGAGACGCCTGGCCCATTGAAGTCGCTCGGACTCACTTTATCTTGTTGACGTGTGCATGGAAGAGCTGACACATAGACCTTGATTAACGAATACTGCTCCTGATGGGATCCGATTTTCGAAGTTGAGGAAAGCTTCCAGAATGTCGGCTGCCGGGGCCGGTGGGAGACCCAACCCGACTGCACCGGAGTGGGGCGCACCCCAACGGCCCTCAATCCCCGCAATGCGGTTCGTCTCGTCTCGGTCTCTCGGCCGGGGTTGAGCGACCCATAATTAACCGGATCAGCGGGGCCGGCACTTTTCGCCGCGCTGTGGACGCGTCGACGATGAGACATGCATGAAGCAGTGTCACTAGAAAACCACTTCGCTTTCTACTTCAACTAACTACCGGCAGCCCAGTGGCCCCCAAAAGGTTTCAAGAAGACTTCTACATGTCCGAGGGGATAACATTGAGCCTCGATGTTTCCGCATAACGGTCACAGCATGACCCGGTGGTCGCATCGCCTGCTGGAGGCATGACTCGTATGCCGAGTCGCATCCCGTCGACCGAGGCTATTGGCACGCCGGTGCCATCGGGAACGTAGGGCCGGTGTCGAGAGAGGAACGAAGCCTTGTTCGTGGTGGGATGGCCGAGTCACATCGTGTCCTGGCGCCCTAGCATCAAGTCTCTCGGCTCAATTGGCATAGTGCACCCGTGACTGGGAGTCTAGAATCCGAGCGAAGACTGCATCCTGGCCGGGGTACCACCTAGACTCTGGGGTATAGAGGCGCAAACATGATCGCACAGAGGGAGTACAGATGGGAGGGCCGCGGCAACTAGGCACAGAGTGAATTGTCAAGTTCAATTGTGTACGACCTGAAGATATATCTTGATGAATTGCCGTTGAGTCCAAAATGCCTGGGTTCGGCACCTGTTATGACGGGCGTCGGGCATCTTCTCAACGCCACACGCCTGCAGAGGCCCCTTGTCAAGTACTTACGTCAACTCTTGATGAGTATCAGTTGCACTGAACCTTTGGATACAAACATTATCGAGCTCGACGGGTCTCTCTCCATTGGATTGTGGTGCCTGACATTACTACCTAGCAAACAAGCCTGTGGTTCGGGCATCGTGCAGATACACGTTTTCATGTCTTCGCTCCTTGACGGCTGGTCTACTAGTAAGACATGGCCGGTCCTTGAAATGAGACAAACGAAAGGAGGAGTAAAGGCAGTTCTGGTCACTCGCTGTATGGTACCTCGCATTGGCAAGGCTCTCGAAGTAGCGTGGCATCTCGTTAAAATGCTCAACACTACCCTGTCTTCCCCGGGCAGAGGAAGAGCAGCTCGGCGGTTAGGGTCGCCGCCGATCGTCTACACTGCCAAATTACCGTAGAATCGTAGTGTGGCGTAATGAGCAAGCAGCAAGGTACGGTGAAAAGTAGGAGAAAGAGAGAGAGACATCATGTGAGGCGTGAAAGGGCAGGGGTAGACAGACAGATGGCAGAGAACTCAGAAGCATAAAGACCAGAACATGGATCATGGGATGATTCTGGATGTGTGGGGTGCGTGGCGTCGACGAGGGGGAGTACAAGCAGGGGGTTGCAACTCTACTCTTTGCTGTCTGCGGCCCGACAACCCAGAGAGCCCATCCTTGACACCTCCACCAACACATTTACCCGCCCAATCGCAACTCGGGTCCTCTCGGATACCCTGCGCGTCCATCCTAGCCCGGTTTACCTCCTTACCTCGGATCATGGGAAACTTCAATCAACCTCACCTCTCTGACTCTCCCCCAGCTCTACCTGAAATTCCTGAACACCAAGCTTCTCTTTGGGGAATGGGGAGCATGACACTAAGAACAAACGGCACCCCTTTGAACGAACCATCTGCTCCGATCCGACCACTCACCTCCCCCCTCCAGCCTCGTCCCGGCCGACACACCATGGCATGATCGCCCGCCCTCCCGATCACGACGTTATGCTTGAAGTGAATAACAAAAGGTCCCCTCCCTTTTGTGCCCTGTCATAGTTGTGCAACCTGAGGTAAGGTACACTTGCGCTATGTGTTGTTCAGGGGTATGTGAAGCTCCTGCTCTTCGTCAGCAGACCTACATCTTGCAGAATACTGGTGAGTACATCGTGATATGGAGCAGTCTCCCGTTGGCAAGCGGCGGGAAAGGTAGAATCACGTTCCATGGTTCTGTGGTACGACCCTGCACAACACTCACATCCAAGGCCTCTTCATAGTCATGTGCCTGCCATGGCCGCAGCAGGAACATGAAGTTATGCGGCCACGCAGGGAACTCATTAGGATCGTAGGACCGACCGTCGAGGCCCAGTCTCGCCTTGCCGGCACTCCAGAGTCCAGAGTAGCGACTCGCATGGCAAAACACACGTGGCCGATGTCATTGTTGCCAACGGCCGGGCGGGCCCGGGGTTAGATTGAGCTTCAGGCTCTCTTGTTACAGTTTGTATTCTTCTAGGGTCTCGTTTGATTGCAGGTCATACGTAAAATCGTCATCGTCATTTCGGGGCGTTTCCAGTAACCTTCGCCCGCCATCATGTCCCGTTTTCCATGCTTTCAGGCGCCCGCCACCCTCCTCCTCTTTTCTCCCTCTTTTTCTTCCCTTTTTTGCCCCGTCAATGTGACCGGCGTACGTTCCAGAAACTCCGAGCACTGTTTTTGCTCACCCTTTTGGACATGCGAGCTTATGTACAGCATCTCTGGCTTCGGCTATAATGCCCTCCGCCAAGTGTCCCAATCCTAGCAAGAGGGATCCAAGTATGTACCAGAAAGAGAGAAAAGATATGTGCCAGAAAACAAAGTCATAGCAAATACCCAATCAGACACGTCAATGGACGAAGAAGCCGCCCTCCATGCCGGCTACCTGGCTGCCCATCATCCCGTAGTCCATGTGCATCATATGCTCGTTGACGTTGTACGGGGAAAAGTCGACGGCCTGATCAGGACCCTGGCCCCAATACATGCCGTCCATATCCCATAGTCCATGCTGATCGAGCATGCCCATCATGCCCATCCCTTCCGGCTCCAGGCCGATGGGTGACATGTGCAGCTCCGCCTCCGCCATCAGCATGCCTTGCTCGCCCGCCAACCCTTGCAGAGGGCTCTCTGACCGCATCGACGGCTGTCTCGAGGCTTCGTACATTCGCCACACGACCTCTCGGCTACGCTTCGCCGCCAATGACCAGTCCTCCATGGCCTCCAGCAAGTCGAGGATCGTCTCGATCTGCTGGTGCCAGTCGGCCACGCGCGGGCTATTCCATTCCCAGAACGTGCTGACCAGCGGGATCATGGCCGCCTGGTAGAGGAACCACACAGCGTTCCATCCAGACATTTGGTTGCGAGTCCATTCCCGGGCAATGTCCTCAATGGTCTGCTTCGCGAGCTCGCGGCACGTCTCAATGGCTGCGACGTCCTGCTCCGCCACGTGAGACAGCGAGCCGTTGCTAGCCAGGCTCAGCAGGACGGGTCGGTGGAGGAGCATCCGCAGGTTCTGGTATCGCCACTTCATGATGCACCGGGCAATGTACAGCGGCTCGGCGCAGGGGTCGGTTGTCCTCAGGAGCCATGGTAGGCTGCTGTACCAGTTGACCAGCTGCCTGTCGAGGTTGCAACGGTCTTCCGCGCGCAGGAGGGGCGAAATAGCCAACAGGTCCTGGATCTGCGTGGCAATCTTGCAGAACTTGATGTTCTCGATGAGCGGCAAGATGCCGGCGTGCTGCGCAGAGTCCCGGCCCTGGTTGATTCCAAACTCTGGGGGCCGGATGTTGATGGCAGGGCCCCATCGGCCGAATGAGGGTCGTCCCATGGTTGTCGTGGCCCACGTGTCGAGGCAGAAGAGACTCCACCATGTGCGGCGTCTGGTCTCGGCGGCGGCGATGTCGCTCGACCCTTGAGCCAGGCTCTCTCGGTGAAGACCGAGGGCGCTCGCCATTCTGATGGCCGCGCCGAGAACGGCGTTGGCCATGTTGGGTCTGTTGATGTAGTGTAGATAGTAGCCTCCAATCAGCGCGAGGGCTTGCACCATTTCGATATGGCTACTGCCAAAGGCATCCATGGGCAGATGCTCCATGGCCCTGTTATAGTAGTTGATGTGGTTGTAATCGTCCGACTTCATGGCTACGATGCTGCCCATGGCAAAGACCATGTTCAGCAGTGCTAGCCAGGGGGCATCGAAGCGCTGGCCTTCCAGATAATCGGCTCGGAAAGCGGCCTCGTCCAGCATGGGAACGAAGACGTGAATGCGCTTGAAGTAAGCGTCAATGAGCGTCTGCCCTTTCCATGACCACGGGATGCGTTGGGTCTCCTTGAGCACGGCGCCTCTCTGTTGCATGGATGGGAAGCTGTGTGTGACTTCGGCGGTCTGGAGCGGCATGCTGAGCGCATTGCGGAGTGCCGGCTGAACCTTCATGAGGCACATGAGCGCGGCTTTGATCGAAGAGGCGCCGAGATATGATGATTGCCGGTCC